TGCTTTTTAATATATCTACCAGCTTTTTATGTTGAACTTTATCAAATGCCTTTTCAAAGTCTACAAAACATAAGTACATATCCTGATTCATGTCCATGCATCTCTGAGCCAGTACATTCAAGCCAAACAAAGCATCTCTTGTACTCATACCATTTCTAAAGCCAAATTGTGTGTCACTAATCTCATATTCAAGAGTTTTAACAATTCTTCTGTGAATTATTTTCAAAAATGTTTTAAGTGTGTGACTCTTTAAAGCTATTGTTTTGTGGTCTGAGCAAGTTGTTGAACTTGGTTTTTTGGGAATTGCTACAAAGGTTGATTGCAGCCATTGTCTGGGGATTGTGGCAGTCTGATATATTAGATTAAAGAGTGCAACCATTGCATCACTAACATCTTCATCGATTAGTTTTAATAATTCGATGAGCACCTTTATCATTTTTAAGGATATTCGTTTTTGTACGCTTTCTAGAACCTGTCATTTCTTTGATTTTTTTGAGTAAATTAAAGCTATCGTACTTTTTATCCTGATTTTCTATTTCCTTGCATCTATCGGAGAGCCACCTCTCTTTTGCCTCTCGAATTTTCTTTCTGATATTTCTCTGAATTTCTTTGTATTTATTCAGGTCTTTTGCTTTATGTTTTCTTCGTTCTTCCATGAGTTCAAGAATTTCTACTGTCATCCAAGGTTTTGTTTTTTCTTTAAGTGGTTTGAGGGTTTCTTTTCTAACTGACACAAGGGCATGTTGAATTTTCCCCCATTTTTGGTCAATAATTAGAGTTTCTGCATTATCTTCTTTGACTTTCCTTAAGCTCTCGTTTATTTTAAATTTGATTTCCACATATGTGTTGTCTTGTTTGAGACGTCTTGTATCTATGGTTTTCTTGGTGCTAGGGCTGTTGACCTTCTTTAATTTCACTCTCATCGACAAAACAACCGGGTTGTGGTTGGAGGATATGTCCGCTCCTGGATAAGTTTTAGATGATATTATAGAACTGAAGATTAGAGGAGAGATAATACTGCCTTGCCTCACTCCACGCATGATTTTCACCTTCAACTCTGAGATTTGCTGTCTGATTACAGTAAAGATTTCTAATTATTTTCAGATGTTGACTGTTAATTCCTGCTTATTTTAGTATTTGCATCATCTTGGCGTGCTGTACTCGACCAAACGCTTTTTCGTAATCAACTAGACATGCGTATACGTTGCAGTTGACGTCTCTGAATCTCTGGAATAAGACTTGTACTGAGAACAAAGCCTCCCTAGTACCAATAGCATTTGTGAACCCGAACTGGTTGGGGAAATTTGACTTTCACAGAGCTTGTAGATTCTCTTATGAATTATCTTTAGGAACAATTTTAGAAGATGACTCATGAGGCTTATAGTACGGTAATCTTCGCATTTTTTGGCTTCTGTTTGGCTGGACTTCTACGCTCTATTTTAGACAAAGACTTGCTTGAAATGATGGCCACAGAAACAAACACATACCCAATGATTCGCTAAAGAAGTTACACGAGAGGCTAGAGTGTGTCATTGGCAAGATACAACTATTGACGAAATAAAAAAATTCATTGGTTCATATATTGGTCAAAAATGTAATGGTCACTTTAAAAATAATGAAAATGAGTCTACGGACAGTTTGCAGAAAATATCGCCTTTCACAGAAAAACTTTTTCAAAAAAAAAAAAACATAATTTTCAACGATATTTCACACCAACCGGAGGTCTTTGCATTAACAAAACGAAGGTTCCCTTTGGAGGTAGGTTATCTTTTTGACAATATATCAAAAATAAAAAGCACAAGTTTGGGATAAAACTGTACAAACTGGGAATCAAAAAGGGATATACTTACAACATGGTTATTGTAGTCTTAACAAGACTACAATCTTCATCCCAAAGTGTCGAGTTGGCATATGTTTTACTTGTCAGAAACACTCACTTGGTTGGGACTCGCCGATCGAATCGAAAGGTGAATCCTAAAGAAGTTCTTGAAAAAATGCTTAAAAAAGGAGCAACCGAGGCAGCCGAAAGCTACTCAGGTATAATTATCCAGAAGAAGAAGGACAAATTAGAGATGCTTACCTTATCCCCAAAATACACTGATAGGTTACTGAGAGCTGATAATAATAAAGGATTGCAAAAGCATGCTGCTGTTGTTGACTACAACAAGCATAAAGCCTATATTGACCTTTCAGGTCAAAAAAGTGGTATACCACCTCATTCCGTTTACGTGATTCTCGAAAAAGAAGGGTCCTATGATATAATTTCCAGGAATTACAGCCCAAACATTTTAATGACCATGTTGTTTGACTGTGGGTGAAAATGTTCTTGTACATTAGAAGTTGAGTAAAGAATAGTGGAAATTAAGCCTGTTTACATCACCATTTTTGTGGAAATTAGCTTAAGAGTTCAAATAGAACATAGTCCAAGAAATATTATGCATCATTCTGAATCTGTACCTGCGTCCACTGACAAAATTCTACTCTTTTATCTTAGTTAAGCTCATTAAATACTTGGTGCAACTGTGTATGATATACATGACTCTTGTCCTTTTTTTTAATTATTCCTACATTACGATCAATAATTTTAAAAGCATGTACAATTTTCCTTGTATTAATATGCAGATTCTCAGTGATATTAAGGATTACATTAAATTTATTTTCATCATTTACAGTAATTTTTGTTGGATCAGATTTTTCGTAATTTACCTGTCCAGTTCCGTTGAAACTATTCTAGTAAATTGCCGTTCTATGAATCGACTATGAATTGCCGTTCTTCTTCTTCTTTTTGTGCCACTCCTATCGGAGATTGGAAATCATCAAGGCTATTCTGACCTTGTTTACGGCTGACCTAAAGAGTTCATTAGTGGTGCAGCCAAACCACTCTCTCAAATTCCGCAACCATGACATTCTTCTACGGCCTGGATTCCGTTTTCCTTCTATTTTTCCCTGCATTATATTTGAAGTCATGCGTATTTAAGTCCTCTCATCAGGTGACCAAAATATTCGAGTTTTCTTCGCTTTAGCGTTAACAAAATCTCTGGGTCTTTTCCTATTCTTCGTATTACTTCACAGTTTGTTATTCTTTCAACCCAACTTATCTTCAGCATTCGACGGTAGCACCACATCTCGAAACTTTCAGTATTTTTCATGTTGTTCTGTTTGAGAGTCCAGGCCTCTACACCGTATAATAGCGTGTTAAATACATAGCCTCTCAGCATTCTTAATCGTAGAGGGATGCTTATATTTCTATTGCAGAAGAATTTTCTCATCTTTATGAAGGTGGCCGTGGCAATTTCGATACGTCTTTTTATTTCACTGTTTTGGTATCCAGTTTAGTTTATTAAAGTTCCCAAGTATTTGTAACTTGATAGTTTTTCAACTTGAGTGCCGTTTATACTAATATACGCTGGTTGTGTCATGTTTTTACTGAAGACCATATACTTGGTTTTTTTAATATTGATATTTATACCATAATTGTTGCAAGCAATATTTATGTCTGTAAGTAATCTTTGTAATTCTTCTACTGTTCTTGCAACTAGTACAGTGTCGTCCGCGTATCGAATATTATTTACAATCTCTCCATTAATTACGATTCCTCCGTTTGCTTGTAAAAGGGCTTCCTGGCAGATGCTTTCACTATATACATTAAATAACAGAGGTGACAAAATGCAACCCTGTCGTACTCCTCCTTCTGACGAGGTCTATTAGACCGAAATACGTATAAGCGGCTACATAGACGCACTATAGTTGAAATTAAATCTTAACTGTCTTTTCCATTTATTCCGATTACTCTGAACGAGTACTATAAACCAATTCGCTAAGGATTTTTGCTTAATTGAGGAGATATGACGTGGAATGCAACTTTTAGATTTCCCATGTCTCTAATAACATCTTCATCAATGTCGTTTTGCCTGTAATTCTTAGAAGGCACAGATTAAAGCAAAAATCTGAATTTGGTCTTGAAAATTAGTTTACGGATTTTAATATCAGGTGTCGCTATTTGCGTCCATTCGAAGCTATGTTAGAGTTGCTTCCTAAGAATGAAGAGATTTATTTTCACGTTCAGAGCGACTAGAAATTGCCGTTCTGACGAGGCCTATTAGGTCGAAATAAGTATAAGCGGCTACATAGACGCACTATAGGTGAAATTAAATCTTAACTGCCTTTTCCTTTTATTCCGATTACTCTGAACAAGTACTAGAAACCAATTCGCTAAGGATTTTTGCTTAGTTGAGGAGATATGACGTGGAATGTAAATTTTAGATTCCCCATGTCTCTAATAACATCTTTATCAACGTCTGTTTTGATTTAAAAAATTATTGTAATTACAAATGAATAATTGATTCAAAAAAACGTAATTATCTTTTAAATTACTCCCTATAACACTGCCAAACCTTTTATTGAAAACAAAAAACGAGAACACCGAGAAGAGTCCAAAAATGTAAAAATATACAGGGTGTTCCATTAAAAAATATAAATTTGTTCCCCCTGTCAATAGGGTGGCCCTGTATATTTGAAAATATTTTTAGAGTATGGTCCTATTTGTGTTTCAACTTTTACCTAAATAATTTTCTTCATATCTCTTACGACAAATGAAAAATTGGACTTCCTCGCACTAATGTCCCACCCTGTATATTTATTTCCTCCCTTAATAATTTGATTGACAGTTGCATCTTCGTTTAGTAGTTTTCAATATCAAATCGTTCAAAAAGTGTAAAACGAAGTATACCTAATAAGATTCTCGTTATTTCCGTACACGTTTAAAATTACATAAAATAAATTTTATATTGATCTTAACAGCTAATGGCTAGAATTACAAAAAATATAAAACGGTAATATAAAAATATAGAAATAAGAAAATAATACACTAACTTTCACAATAAAAAAATAGTAGTGAATGCCAAAGTAAAACACGAAAGAAGTTTAAATCTAATGAAAATTACCTAGGAAGTTATAGATCAGCTGAAGAATTGTGGAATAGATGAGAAATATTTACGTACTTTTTCACTTTCTGTTTTATAGTAAACGCCCAGGAAGAGCATATTTAACCAGTTCAACTGACACTTGTATTCCAAAAATAACACACCTCTACTATATACACGGCTTTGGCCAAGAACAAATTACGAATAAAGCGGAAAAATGGTTTAACAGCATCGTTCCTTGTTTTTGATCTATTATAAGACATTTTAATTGTTTTCGCCCTCCCTCCTAAAAGATGTTTTTCGGATTTGCCAATGGGTATCAGGGTAAAATGAACGGTATAAAAGTTTTGTGTAGTTATCGTATTTAGAATATGATGAATTATTAATATAAGTAAGCAAAGCTTGTGGTCAGATTTGTTTATTGAGTATCTAAAGGTTTCCGTTTATTTAACAGATGCATCTTGTCATTATTATTTATTACTGCTAGTGAAGATATATATATATATATATATATATATATATATATATATATATATATATATATGTATATATATACCATTACAAGAATTAATAACTCCGTGCTGTTCTTTTGGAATGAGTTTATAAAATCCCTTGTGCAAACTGCCCCAATATAGGCCAAAAAATCATACAATCCAAAATAACATTTATAAACATTCAATTTAGGTTCAAAATTTTTTAGTGTTTCATCATCACTCGCAGAAACCTTGTCGAAGTCTTTTATGGATTTAAAAGGTTCTGAGTACTTTTTCTGACGTTTATTCTACATTCATTGTCTTCGTAACGTGATTTTACCGCATTTATGTAGTTCTTGTCTCCTCCATTATTTTCCATTGCTTTTCATAGATTTTTGACTGGGACTATATATATATATATATATATATATATATATATATATATATATATATATATATATATTCAAAGCTCCTTTATATATATATATATATATATATATATATATATATATATATATATATAGGTATATCCCACTATAATTAGAGCTTAGACAAGGAAAAAGAGAGGACGAGTAACCGTATCGCTAAAAGTGAAGCCAAACTGTCACCAGAGGAAGTGGTCAGCGGCGTATCTTTGTATTTTTAAGGATTGACTAATTCGTATTTAAAATGAAACATTTTTGTACATTAAATGTTGTAGGTATTTAATTTATTTTATACAAATATTTTGGAATCAAAATTAACGAAATTTATTTATTTATTCACTTATTTATGGAATTTTATGGATTTAACCCTCAACGCACATCGCCACTGGCAAATTGACATAGTGTGTGAGTAAAATTAATAATTATATACAATTATTACTAAAATAACTACGCATATTTAGCATTCCTATTTAGTAATTTAGATCTCACCTTTCCTTAAAATACTAATTTAAATTGGTTTTGAGTTTTAAATTGAAATAAAAAGTAAAATCAATTAATACCTAATTGCACTATTATAAATATTTACCTATGAAAAGATATTCCTGGTGTTTTCTGCTCTCTGCGATTTTTACAAAGAATATATGCACAATTCACCATTTTGTTAAGTAAAAAAAATAGGTGTTTAATTCACTGTTTTTAAAAAACCACAAAAACAAAACTGGTGTCAGGTCTATTGTTTGCCACCAAAAAAATGGCGGACACATCAAAAAGTGGCATCATTTTTGAAGGTTGTTTGAACGAGCGTTACCCATCCTCTCTCTTTCCTTGTCTAAGAATTAGAGCATCTTTATACTCTCTTAAAGTGTTGTTGCTAACACACGTGTCAATTCCAAAGCATACTTGATAAATATTAAGAAATGTAACGATTAGATTACAATAAAATGCATGTATACCTTCGAGTTTAAATAAATCGAAAAGGGTGATATCTATCGAAATATTACAAGAGCACCTTTTTGCGTAGAAAAGTCTAAGGAAACAATTTTTAAAATATTTTTTTAAAATATTTAAAAATTAAAAAACATGTGACGCAATAACCGCAAATGCGCAAAGTCGATCAAAATTAGAACGGCAAGTGAGCATATCTTGTTTGTTATAATATTATGGTATAGAGGGTTCGATTTTTAAAGAACACTAACAAGTTTTTTTCTCTTGTACAAATTGTTGGGGTAAAATCACTAGTTTGGATAACTCGCTTGCGTAAAATTACTGCACTAGTTTCTACTTTATTTTTGCTGAAAAACTTACTTTATTATTAACTAAAACCTGAACCTTGGTTCATTCCCCCATCACTTTAACCCATCGAGCAAAAAGACAATAGAGGGAATGTAAAGGTAGTGGGGGCAAACATATTGTTAGACAGGAAGTGTGATCTTTAGAGGCCACATTAAACAAGGAAAGAGAGTCTCTCTGCTTGTTTGACATCAAATTTAGTTGGGTTATGTTATTGTTTGTCCCAAATGTCACATGAAATCTTATTTATATTGAAGTTTTTTAACAATTGTGTCGCATTTTAGACTCTTATCATTAATAATTAATTAAAACTTGCTCGTCTAAGACACATTCTGAAAAATATTATATAGCTACTGTTGATAAGTGTCGGAAAATTTAAATTTCGCGCATTCTCATTTCCAGATATGTCCGCCATCAGAGGCCACTTTTTTGGTCTCCTTTTCATAAGGATTAGATTCCCTCTTTTGTCTTATTGCTCGATGCTTTAATCCCAGCGAGTTAATAAAGAGAAATGACAGCCTATCTCTCTCAAGAACACTTTAACCAATCATTTATTTTAACACAGTCTCGGGGTGTCAATAAAATAATCAAACGAAGCTTAATTCCGCAATGTCAATTCTGTCAAAAGTAATGACAGATCTTCCGTTTGTTTACAAGTTTTCAATTTTATTTTATTATCTTTAACTTTTGTTTGCATTTATTCTTAGTAATTTTATTTTAAGTTGGTTACTTAGTTTTTAAAGTTTAGTTTGAGTCATAGAGAAATAACAAATAATTGTTATTTCTCTATGGTTTAAACGAAGTAAAAATTTAAAAAATGGGCTCCTAGATACGTGAACCTGTAAACTATTCCGTGACCGCAACTGTACCTCATTAAATGTCCGGACATACGTTTACATAATTTGGACGTCCCCGGGAAGTCCAATAAGACCTAAATGTTACCAAAAAGTACGTCCCAGGTACATATACAGAACTAAATCGGACTTATATAGGACCTAAGAAGGATTTATTGGGGACATCCATTGTACGTCCACATGGACTAATATAGGACCTAAATGAGGATGTATACAGGACATAAAGGGAACTTACAAAAAACTAATAAAACGAAAAGCAAAATAAATGGGATTTTTATTTTGTTTTAAGTACATTACTCATATGAAATCGTAGGCTTCCACGGCCAGAGTCAGAATTATAGTTTATTCGTCTTCCGGGTTTGGACCGTGTCATTTGTAAGTGACCCAACAGTGGGTTCATCTCGACGTTTCGCTACAATTGTATGTAGCTTCTTCAGGAGAACAAAGAAATCAGAAATCGAGAAGATTAATACCTCTTTTGAGTCTGCATAGTCCACGAGATATAATTGAGAAAGAAAGGAGAATTTGTGAATAAATATATAGTACCGGTCAAAAGAGGCTTGGGCTTGTGTTTTCGGAGGAGTAGTTTGCTGGTATGCGGTTTGGATCGATGCTGAGAACGGGAAAGATTTGATGGTAGCCGGACATAATCAATCAAGGAAGGAACTGTGGTTTGATCGAGAGGAGACATCATTGGTGTAAAAATAAAGGTCAGTCAAATAATTTGAATGAAAGAAAATTTTAATATATTCTAAAGATAAAATCAAATATATGAACATAGCATACGAACTAAGATTCCAAGTTTCAAAGAGTTATTTTTTTTGTGAATAAATTATATTTTTATATGGTCATTTTTTTTTAGTAGATATTATTATAAAACAGATCAATAGATAGTTTGTAATTAAAATTAAATTTAGAGTATAGGAGTTTGTTGGGAAAGATAATTGCCCACAGAAGTTATTTATTAATATTAATCGTATTGTTTATTGAAAATAAATAATAATTTGTGTGCATATTTATGTTGTTTTAATGTTAGTTCCGTTTCCTGTTCTATCCCGATTATGAGCAACTAGGAGATACTGAACCCACTAGAAGAGATATATAAAGTAAACTGATTAAAGTAATAATTTTTAATAAAAGGGCACCCTGAGAATTTCTAATAGTAACTGAATTATATGACTCTGCATAAATTAGTGAATTAATTAATTAAATAATTGGATTAATTAAATTAGCGTTAATTAATAATAAAACATCATAAAGCAGATCACAACAATATATATATATATATATATATATATATATATATATATATATATATATATATATACAGGGTGGTGAATCGCCAAACGGACCATAGGAAACTCAATGAGAAATTCTAAATTGTTGAATTCCTGCTTCCCTAATTATTTTACACCAAAAGTCATGGGAAACTATTTGTAGAGGACTCAAATATGCATCGAAAACAATTGTTAAAATTGTTCTACGACTTAACGTATTCCAAAATTTTGCTAAAATATAATACATTTTTCAGGCCACCCCTAAAAGTCAGGCCAGACGCCGTGAAAAGAATGTGTATTACGTGTTGCGTTTTGTCATATTGACGTTTCTAATATTTGACAATATTTAAATCAACTACATTATACACAGATAAATAATATAGAAATATATTATATTTATCTATGATTTAAATGGCCAAAATTTTGTGATTTATTATTTAAAAGAAAAATTAAGTTGATTAAAAAATGTACTCAGTTAAGGAGAAAAGAGCAATAATAAAAATGTTTTATTCATGTTTTACTATAATATTTGTTATAGTTTTATGTTAAGAAATTATCGTATATTATTATTAGGAATAAAGATCACAGTAACAGTATATTGGAATTCATTGAATTGTTGTATAACTTAACATGGAATTAAATTTTAGTGTATTAGAATATCTTACGTTAAATAAAGATCCGGTAGTGACAGGAAAAGGTTCGCGCTATTAATTGCCTGAATACAACATTATGCGATTTTTCGTCAACTGAGTACATTTCATTATATTGATCGATTTGTAAACAATATAATTTATTGTTCACAAAGTAATATTGTTCAGTAGTAGTAGTATTTAGTAAAATTCATTGTTTATAATTTAATCCTAAATTAAAAAA